TACTTTTCAAAAGAGTGAAATTGTTCACTCTTCATTTGAATTTATTCTTCAGCTCTAAAAAGAGTGACTTTTCTCGGAGAGAGGATGTTTTGTAACTTCATAAAGTGTCGCAGGCATTTTTTGACTAAGTCTTGAAATCTCTAAATACTTTATCTATACAGGAGTACAAATATATTAAAGATTGAAGACATGAATTTCGATTTATTACATTTTATTAACGATTTTAATAGAAATTAATTTTTTTCATTATCCTAAAGTACCTATACAAAATATCTTAACCTCTGTTCGTATCCTTTTGATTTCTATTTTATGTATGTACAAATGTATAAACAGACTTACCTCTGATAGATTCATTCCCGAGTTTGTCAAACACTTGACGTTGTTCATACACTCAAAACAACTAAACACAGTTAATAATTGGCAATTATAATAATCGGCACTTGTACGAGAACAAGAACTGAGAAGTCATTAGGCGTGATTTGGCGAGATTTCTGCACTTTAAGTTGGAGTGAAGTTTAGAGCATTAACAATTTCACTTTAAAAATAAGAGTGAAACTTTTCACTTTTTGTCTTACTGTGAAAGAATTCACTTTATTAAAGTGAATATTTCCTCCACATAGAGTGAACTGATCAGTGACTCCAGGATTAGAGTGAAAATTCACTCCAAAAAATTTAGAGAATAAGATGCTAATACAGCTTTCTGATTCATTAAGACTACTTAAAACAATCTTAAATATAAGATCCAACTATGAATATCGATCATCGTATATTATATTTTATCACGCCATACATAAAATAACTGAAATTTTTATCACTGTTACAGGTTTTGTGTCGTGTTCGCCGAGTCCTTGCAAAAACGGAGGACTCTGCGTGTCATCGCCGCGCGACGAATCGCATTGCAAGTAAGTAATAACCAGTCATTCTATCACTCCTGTTGCAATTACGAATCGACGTTCCTGCCTCTCCGTTCGCCAGATTGTACAATACCAATACATATATCGTTTGGCGTGTGTGTCGTACGCCGCGATTATGTGTGAGAAACGACTACTTTTCGATCGAGTTTCAAGACGTTTGTGCTACATACACATACTATAAACACACACACACACACACACACACACACACACACACACACACACATACGCGCGCCAACTGATGACAGTAGATATGCTTGCATTATTAAATTAATATATAAGTCAACTTTTTTATTCTGATTGATTTCTTTGCGTTGTTTACATCTTGGTCAGTTAAAAGTCATTTGAATATTGAATTAATATGCAGAAAAAGTAAAATTATACATAGAGGAAAGTGGCCTAAATCGAATCTCTCTCTCCTCTCTTTCTCTCTCTCTCTCTCTCTCTCTCTCTCTCTGTTCCAAATAGAATCTTTTTAATTTAAATGAATACAGTTGAGCAGATTTGCATGCTATTTATAATGTAAAATCCTTATAAGACACCAAACATGTCAGTTTTCTGTCATAACATAGAACAGACACAAATATTTTCAGCCATCGTGCGAAAATTTTTTTAAAAAAGAACATCCTTGTAAATCATTATTTAAAAGGATGTTAAAAGTTTGAAAGGTAATTGATTTAAGATAATTAAAGAGTGAGGAATTCAAAACTATCAAGCGTGTTTTGTGATCACTTTTGTGGTTTATTGTAAAATTTGTTCCAAAGTTCGAAAGGATCCATTCGTGTTTAAATCGAACAGTACAGTAGATAACTTATAGGCTTGAATGTGATAGATACTCGGTAATCGGCCGACCAGATCTGGTCCAAGGAATTAAATCAATGAAATATCATGAGCCATCAGACTCAGATTATTTGAGTTTTATTGATTTCAATTCTAATAAAATATAAACTGTCAGTAATTTTTTTTCTGAGTAAAATTTTTATCTTTGTCAAATTGCTCGTTTTTACTCAATACTAACAAAAATACATGAAAATATTTTAAAATTCTATCTAAAATTCCAGAAAAATAGGAATGTCCGATTTAGACCAGGGGATAGTCCAACAATAGTTTCAAATCCGACCGAAAAAGCGTTTTTATATTTTCTATTATAATTCAACACGGAGATGAGAGATACATCAAAATGATCTCAAGCAAAAATGAAGGGATTTAAATGATCTTTCTACCGCGTGGCATCTTTGATTCTACTTTATCTTTGATCAGACTTTATTTACGTCTTATAGAGAGCAAAAACTGCAAATAGATTCGATTTACCCCTATATTCTTTTTATAATAATATAATAGTAGTTATACAGTGTAGAAAAAAAATTAGAATCAGATATTGAAATGTGCAAACTAAAAGAGTTATTCGATATTGAATTTATCAGGAAGCGCATACAAATTCCCAGAAAAGTGAAAGAAAGTTAAAAAGAAAGTTAAAAAAAAATAATTTCAAATATTCAATTTTACTTGAGGATGAGGTTCATTTTCTTTCAATCAATCAATAAATCGTATTACGAATCGATTCATTCGCCGGTGCTCGCGTAGTAAACGCACCTTTACACGCCGAGTTGGCGTCGGCCGATCGACGACCGAGTCCAAGAAGAGGGGGATAAAGAAAGATACCGAAGGGGGCTCGAGGGGTATAACGGGGCGAGAGGGAAAGACAAGGAGGAGGCGAGAGAACCGGACGTTTCGCCGCCTCCCACGCGAAAAGGATGAGAAACCGTGAAAAGAAGAGGACGGAGGATGAGGAGAAGGACGCGGAGAACTGCAAGTCGCAACTTCCACCACGCGAAATCATGCGAGCTTCGGAAAAGTTTGCGTCGTGAAAATCGTGACATTTTTTTAAAAATATTTTAATCTCTTCTGAGAGATTCGGAATATTTTTTTATAATTTCTGTCAGATAATAACGCATTATAGGTTTTTGATTTTGACTATTGCGATAAAAAGTGCTGTAATAGGAGAGATGTGTATATTTATGAACAGTAGATTTGATAAAATATATAAATATTTAAAGAAGATTGCATTAAATGTGAGATTTCGATTAAAAATTTGTACTTAAAAATTTTGAAAATGTAATCTTGCGCAATATTATGCCAAAAGCAATGGTTTTATTTTCAAGAAATACACTTTTTTGATATTAAATGTATAATTTGTGTTAAGCTAATATAATCATATTAGTATATTTTGCAAATATATAATTTTGTAAATTACTTTTTTAAGTTTGACTACATAGCATTTTATTAGCTGATTATTTCAACATACTCATTTATTGTCGTTGCGAGTAAAGTTACTTGTCGATTAAAAATGCAAACGTTACGATCTGAAAAGCACAAGAGACAACATCTATCTGTTTCGCAATTCTTAGAATAATTAGCGCAGCGTAACTTTAATGCGCGCTGAGGACTATCATGAAACGTTCACCGGTAACAAAATACTTTTGTTCCGCAAGCGAATCTTCTAGCTGCGGGACTTTTTCGATTTCATAGCACGTACATACTTACGCACGCGTGGAACTATTTACTCGTACGCACGCGTGTATACACATGTCTCCTGTTCCTTGATTGGTCGTCTATTTGTAAAATATAGCGTTCGTAGAATACTTGAACCATTAATTTTTTTATACATAGTTTATTCAAAAATGAAATTTATTTCTTATTTCATTTATGGTAGATTACATATAAATAATATATATTGTTTATTTAATTACATACAATTACATATAAATAATCTATTGTTCATATTTAGGTTATACATGTATAACAATACATATAAGAAATATAATAAATATTTAGAGATTACATCATTACATATAAATAATAATTCAATTACACGCATAAATAGTTTTTTATTTCTTAAGAAAGTTTTTTAAAATGCTATAATAATTATTTTATTTACCTTTAAAAGTTATGTAATCTTTTTTTACGTTTATAATCATACATCAAATTGTAATCAAGGAAACAGTAGGGGAGACCGAAGCTAATAGACATTTTTCAGTTTCGAATTTTTGCAGACGAAATTAAGAGACTTATCAAAAAATAAATTCCACGCCAGTTACTACACACATTTGACTACCTAATAATATTTTAATGATAAGGGGAAACTGATAATATGAAAAAAAAAATGCATTTTTCTAATGCATTCCATCTGATTCAACTAACTCCGGGATCGGAGTAATTCGAGATTATTAAAATAAAGATTAATGTATTTTAAGCTACGTCTTTGGCTACATATTAAATAATAAAATGTTTTTAAAAATATATTTTAAATACAAACATTCGCTTCGCAAGGCAAAACGTTGTTTCTTTTTGCAAAATTTGTTCATTTCGTGCAAAAACACGTCGAATGAGTCTAGTTTTCGAGATTGGACATGAGGGAACTAAACTTATAACATTTATCACCGAGGAAAATCTCTTTAAAGAAGTAAAATTTTGAGTAAGTACTATAAGAATCACTAAATGAGTTCCCATGCTGTGGTTAGTCTACTATCCCCATCCGTTCATTTTTTAAAAACATTCACAATATACGATAACAAAAACACATAAACAAAAAAAATCTGTTGAACTTTATCAAGTAAGTACTATACTTACTATCTAAGTAGAAATCAAATATCTCAGACAATCATATACGATAGTAAAACAAAAACTTTAAGAATACAAATATTTACTTAGGTGTACGATTTTTTAAAATTGTGGCATAACTTCATAGATGTGTTCGCAACAAGATGTTACAGCAGACTTAGCGGCAGTCGCTGCTGCTTGCTCAGATACGTTTACACGTATTTCGTTTTTAATGTAGCCTCGATTATTCTACTTACCCCTAATCAACTGACCCCGGGTCTCCCCTACATCATTACTTATAAATAATAATTCTATCACACGCATAAATATAACTTTCTATTTCTTAAGAAAGTTTTTTAAAATGCTATAATAATCATTTTATTTACCTTTAAAGAATTATGTGATTTTTTTTTACGTTTATAATCATACATAAAACATATCATAATAATCAAGGAAACAGTACACTTTTGATTGAATTTTCCGACTGTCTTAAACATTCAAATAAGCGTATAATTCTTGTCGCATCTTTGCAATATACAGTAGTTTGCATGTAGATCGATCTCGATTACAGTTCGTACTTGGTCTTTTCGCGACAAGCTGACTCAATGCTTTTCACCGTTGCACTCTCACGCCAGATCGAAGCGATCGACGTCTACTACGTGAGCGCCGAAGGGCTCACGGTCGTCATGGATAATTGGTAAATTATCATACCGCTTTCCTCCATCGATCGCCCTCTCAAAATACGGGGTGATGAACGCGGCGAGCATGATTTCTGCATCAATACTTTAGTAGTTCGACACAGGGAATCTGTCCCTATAAATGATGCGTGAACGATCATTGTTGAGCGCTGCCACGTAGAGTGTAAAAAATCTGTATATCACATAAGTTTATTAGCAAAATATGCTACATTTGCGTTTAGAATTTGCGAAGATACCAATGTTATTCTCAATTTTATCGATATAGGTTTTGTAGGTGCAATTACGGTACGTAATTGACAAATTACAAATAATTCTGCAAATCATTACATTCTATATTGCTTAATATTATTAATTTTTGATTAAACAATATCATTAATTAAGTATAAATGGAATTAAAATAAAACACTATCACGACGCTGTCATCCGAAGAAAAAATTTACTCGAGCGTTTCCTTCGTATGGAAATCGATGTGTCTACAATTGCAATCTGCCATGATTCGATCGCGCGCAAAATGACGCTTAGACTCGCATCGACGGAACGTAATACCAACAGAATGGCGTGGGACGATACGGAACGGGATGGAACGAGATGGGTCGGGATCCGGTAATAGCGGTAATAGTCGGCAGTCGTGACCCGGCGACGCATCTAAATTACCTTTATCTCTCTCCCGGTCGTCGTAGGTTTCACTTTTGTATCAGTCAGCTCGACGCCTCCGTGATCCTTTGATACTTGACGGTGATTCCCTCGTTCGTATATACATGCATCTCCACATGCATATCAGGCTTTCTGTAAACAGTGGCGTAAATCCGAGAAACGTTTATTATTATTCTAAGACTGAGATGGTCTCTTTAAATGCTTTAGACAAGAAACAAAAATTCGTGAGACGTTTTTCTCTTTCACGATAGCGATTATTATCAATTGGTTTTTTTAGAAAGATGACGACATTTTTCATACATTTTTATTGCTAAAATTTTAAATAGATATCTAAAAGAATTATTCGTTTATATTTTTCCTTTAAGTAGATGTATTATATATTTTATATTTTTTATATAACCTACCTATATATTTCCATCGTGGTTTCAAGAGACAAGAACTTAATTAGTTGAATTTATTCAATTTATTGCGCATCTAATGAAAGTTATAATTTTGAAATGCTCATCTAATGTAAGCGCGTTTTGCATTGTATTTAAATACAATACGAAATCGTGTTTATTCTTTGCGGCTTCTACAATTTCATTATAGTCGTAAACAATATAATTAAAAACAATTGTCTTTAAAATTTCTTTACGATCAGTAGCAATAATTGTGATTGCGAAGCTATACGGAAAGTGGTCAAGTTATTTTTTCTGCATCTACAGACTGTTATTCTTGTCGCTTTACACTATTAGAAATGTAATCACGATCTTCCTTTACATGTAAATAAAGTTCGTGGTTATGAACGAAATTAAAAGTAATGAATGATTTAACTGAAAATTAAGTTACAGTAGTTATTTAAATTAAATGAACATGTATATTAAATTTATGAAATTTTAATGTACTTTTAATAAAATTTTATGAAAAGTACACTAAATTTCATAAATTTTCATGAAAAATACATTAAATTTTATGTACATGTACACAAAAATACTTTTTAATTATAAATACATTGAATTTAATGTACTATCATGAAATTAAATTGTGTAACTTAAAAGTTAATAAAATTTAAGAACATTTCTAACAGTGTATATAGTATGCAATTTATTTCTTACGCTAAGCCTTACGATAGCTGATAAATTTGATATCTGAGTTATCTATAATATTTTGCATAAATAAATTATACAAAGTTTACACATGACTATATATTTAGTTTTTCCCTATATTTAACATTTTTCACTTTATTCTTCATTATTTATAGTTCAATCTATCGTTCGTGACATTTTAATCCAGATAAAGTTAATTTTAAATTAGTCACAAAATTAATTCTGAAAATAATAATTGGTCGAGGTTTTTTTTTGAGATATTTTGTAAATCATTTGTATCAAAGAAATCAATGAAATTTTATACATGACGTGTATGCAATTCGTGTGCATTGAGAGAAAGGATTTTGTTAATTTAGCAGTCACTTTTAACCGGTGAATATATGACAAATTGTTGTGTTTGCTACTAATCTGCTATACCAACCAATTATTAGTAACAGAAGCAAACTATATAGAATCTGACCTATCTTTTGGATAGACTTTACACAGAATTCGTAGATGATCGTGGAGTCTTAAGTCGTAGGAAGCCGACCAAGCACAGTCAAATGTAAGGAGAATACTTGATTAGAATTGATCAGATCCTGCAATCATCTATAATTTATATCTAAATATATATGAGCATCTTATTTGCTGGCAACTATTGATTATTTGTTACATTGACTTGAATTAATTTACAATCGTAACAAATCGATCGGTTTTTCAACAAATATCACATTTGCTTTCCCTTCATTCGTTCCTACAACAAAATTATTTCTCAGTGCGCATACAAGCGTGACTATACAAACGATCACGTCGTGACGTACTATCTATATATGCGTTTGAAGAAAGAATGCATCGTGTACTGCAATATTTCAGGAACTCGTTACAGATGCGGGCCCGCTGTACGTGTGCCGCGGTTATCTCATTTCGAGTAATCTAAGATACGGATGCGAGACGACGTGCCGCACTACTGCAACGCTCAGGGTATCAGAATTAATTGCAACCCTCGGATTAATACCGTTATGCCCCTTACGACCTTCGCGTCCAGAGCCTGGACAGATTTCGCGCTCCACGATCTCGGTTATATTTTGTACTCTTGTTTCATCCGATCCTCGTTTGATCTCGCGTGGCGTTAACACGAGTGTAATTTGTGCGAGCGCGCAATAAATGTTATTACGAGAGAACCGTTCCGTCTATAGGTAATACAAATTCCTGTTCGCAGAAATAATTGTAGAGATTTTTACAGATTTTTAGAGATTCGACTTTTTCACGCTGCGATTTTCTATTACTGTCGCCGCGAAGTTTCGTTTCTACTTAAATAGAAAATCGCAGGTAGCGAATATTAAATTATTTTGATATAACCGCGAACGTAACAGCTTTATTGCGTATTTGGCTTTTTTTACGGCAATGAACCAAACCAAGAGTATTTCAAGACTCCTGTCACTCGTAAGGAAAGAGAATATGTTAATTGTTTAATTAGAGGGGCAATAGGCGTAACACGGACCACAGCTCGAGGCACTTTGGGATTCGATTTAATGGGACCTGCACGCAAGTCTGGAAACAAAAAAGAAAGCGAAATGTACGTTATTAGCGCCCAAGTCTCGAGCTCTCATTCCTTCGCGTATTTATGGATCGAACGATCAGCAATCGAGGAGAAGAAGAGAGAAATCTTCTACATAAATGATTCTTAATTGGTCGACGACGGGACGAACATAAAAAGTTCGCAGACGTACTAAAAATAAATTTTCTTTATGTGTTGAAACTGAAAACCGATTCACGTAAGCTCATCATTGGTTTGCATTCTCGCCGGACTAAATGAACCCATCAGGTTTTCGGGATTCCGGTTTGTTTGTGAGGCACTGGACTCATAAAATGCAGACTGGAATTTGGATGAACATATTTAACACAAAATTTATAGCATTTTTTAACTAATAAATTATCTCGATATATCTATTCATCGGTATTATTATTATGGTAATTGTAACATAATCGAAATGCAAATTTATAAAAAAATAGAATAGAATTTTCCAGACAAATGGAAAAGTTATTAAATTAAGTAAAAATAAAAATTTTATAAAATCGACAATATCATTTTTTATAATATTATTATTACAGACTTTATAAATACTTGAAACTTTACAAAGTGAGCATAACCCAATATAATAACAAATTTGAACATTTCCACTTGACAATATGGCGAGTTTAAAGCTACCCCAACACAATAAAGGATCCTGAATAAAGGCAACCCTTTGTCACCCTTTGCGGCTTTCATTGTTACAAAGTATACTCACACGCGCATGAACCCCCGCGGCTGAATCTTACATATAGATTTGAGTAAACGTAATGTATAGCATCTCTTTGTGGGCGCGTTCGCGCGTGTATAGAAGCATATCAAGTGTGGACAGGTCACGTGGCAGTACACGTGACCCCCGCATGCTTGTCGAATCTATGCCGAATATTTCTCGTCGAAAGAATTACCATTGAAAAACAATATTATTTTTCCATTTCCGTTACTTACGTTTGTACAAGTTATTGTATTCTCTGCAGTCTCATCTATCTATAGTTTTCGATAAAATTTGTATTTTTGTAGGTTTTCATTTTGTTTATAAGTATTTTTCTAATTTTTTCCTAATTTTTTGTTTGTAAAGATATTCCTTTGTTGAAAGAAATAATTTCAACATTAGTTAATATATGTACAGTGAGGGTAAAAAGTATTCGTACAGAAAAAATATTTTTGAAGAAACTTTATTTTTTAAAAGTAAATATTATCCAGCGACGAATTGATATAAATTCGATTTCAATATTAATTTGACGTCGATTCGACGTTTAATTAACGATTTCTTGGTGGATAATTAACAATTTATTCATAAAGAATAAAATGGACTGTATTTCTTCAAATTATATATATCAAAATGATGTGTATTAATTATATAATACAAAATATATCATCTGAAAAATAAGCGAAAGTTGTATTGTTTGAATGCTCAAAAAATATTCGTACAGGTGAGAAATTTAGTTTCTAAAATTCAGGAATACAGGTGAAGCTCGTTTATTTATGTTAGAACAGAATGTATTCATTGTATAAAATTGCTAATTAATGTTTATTTTTTACAAATAAGACTTTTTTTATAACAAATTTCCTTGTACGAATACTTTTTGGTCTCACTGTATATATTTTCAATAAGACTTTGTTTTTGTAACAAGTGTTTATATAATAAATAGTAATTGAATAATTAAAGTTACTATTTTTTCACAATTTGGAAAAGTTAATATGAATTAATGATGGGCCATTTGACACAATTATTTCGATTCTTTTTATCATTTTATCTTAAATAAGAAGGAATTAGTTTAAGATATTAATTTTTGACACTTGGAAATTTTGTAAATATTTTTAATTTTGTGGAATTGCAAACGGAAGGAGCGAGTTTCCACAGTTAGATGCAGCTGTTAGTCGTTAACTTGTGAAAATTTTTACCTCACCCCTTAAGGGTTGATCAAAGGGAGCAACATATGCGCGATGATGGATGGCGATACGCACGCAACCCTTGGACTCGCAGGGTTGCCATTGTACATATCGCTAGTGATCCTCTTATATAAATGTATCCTAAATCCCTAGCGGCCGCAAAAAGGGTGATCGTTCGATTCCCGTATTCACGCTCATTTACCGGAGTGTGATTACTCCAACGCAGAACTCATACAAATGATTCTAATCTTTCAAAGAGAGTCACGTTTCCGTGTACGCGGTCGTGTGTATATATGTATATAAATGCGAGATATTAATTACTATATTAATTCCAATCGTTCAAAGTTATTAGTTGTAATTTCTAGGCAGAATAGAACCCCGATATGTAACATTAACGTCAATTTGTACTTCAATTAACGTTCTATTCTCATTACTTTTAACAATCTTATCAAAGATATAATCATTGAAATATTTCATATTATTAAAATAAAGAAATATACACTATATTTTCTATAATATAAGGTATTTATGTTCTTGTTGTATAATTAAATGGTTATTTTAATCTCATTTAATGTATCGGTTTATATTTAACTCTAAAATCATATTCT